AGGTATGTACTTACTGCCATTCTGTTACTTATTTTCTAGTTGTTTTTGTAGTTCTTCTCTGATCTTTTTTTAGTCTTTCTCTCCCCTTGTGGTTTGAAAACTTTAATGTTATTTTTGCTTTCCTATCTCTTTTTTGTGTGTTTCTGTTGTAGGGTTTTGCTTTGTGGTTACTGGGAGGTTCATATATATATCTCTATATAACTGTGTCTGTTGGTGATGGACAGGGAGGCCTGGCGTGCTGTGATTCATGGGGTCGCAGAGTCGGGCACGACTGAGCGACTAAACTGAACTGATGTCTATCTATATCTCTTTATCTAATTTGTTTTACACTGATAATTATTTTAATTCAAACACATTCTAAAAACTACATTTTTTTTACTCCCCTACTCCACAATTTTGTTTTGATGTCATATTTTACATCTTTATGTGTATCTCTTAAGTCCTTATTGTAGTTATATGTAATTTTATGATTTTTGCCTTTTAACCTTTGTACTAGCTTAAATTTTAAGTTGCTGATCCACTGCCTTTACTATATATTTGCCTTTCCAGTGAAATAGTTTTCCTTCATAGATTTTCTTATTTCTTTTTATGGCCTTTTCTTTTTTTGATTAAAGAGGGCCCCTTAACATTTCTTGTAACGCTAGTTCAGTGGTGACAAAGCCGTTTGGTTTTTGCTTGTCTGCAGCACTCTTCTTCAGTCCTGAATGGTGATCTTGTTGGGTAGAGTATCTTTGGTTGTAGGTTTTCCCTTTCAATACTTTAAATACATCATGCCACTCCCTTCTGGCCTACAGAGTTTCTAATGAAACGTCTGCTGGTAGCCTTATGGAGGTTCCCCTGTTTGTGACTCTCTCTCTTGCTGCCTTTAAAGTTCTCTCTTTCCCTTCACATTTTGCCATTTCACTTATGATATGTCTCGGTGTGTGACCCTCTTGTTCATCTTGTTTGGGACCCTCTGTGACCTTTACCTGGATATCTGCTTCCTTCTTCAGGAAAGGGATGTTTTCAGCCATTATTTTATCAAATACATTTTCTGCCCCATTTTCTCTCCCCTCCTTCTGGGGCTCCTACAGTGTGAAGGTTAGTATGCTTGATGTTGTCTCAGAGGTTCTTTAAGCTGTCCTCGTTTTAAGAGAAATGTTTTCTTCCTGCTGTTCTGATTGGGTGATCCCCGTGACTGTCTCCCAGGTCACTTACGTGTTCTTCTGGATCAGCTCGTCTGCAGTTGACTCCCTGTAGTGTGATTTTCATTTCAGTGACTTCTTTTGCTCTGGTTGGTTCTTTTTTTTTTTTTTTTTTTTTGTATTTTCTAATTCTTTGTTGAAGTTCTCACTGTATTCCTAAATTCTTTCCCCAAGTTTGCTCAGTATTTCTCTGGACTGTTGCTTTAAACTTTTTATCCAGTAGATTACTTATCTGTGTTTCTTCAGGGTCTTTCTCCCCCTGGGGTTTCACCTTGTTTTTTTATTTGGAACATGTTCCTCTGTCTCCTCAGTTTGTTTGGCTTTCTCTGTCTCTATGAAATTATGCAAACTTTGTGCCCGCTTTAAAGGCATGTCCTTATGTGGGAGCTTTATCCACACTTTATCCACTGTGCCAGTTTCCCTAATACCTAATGTTCTCGGGGTGCTCTCTCTGCTGGTATGTTTCGGCATGTTGGAATTTTAAAACCTGAGCTCCTGTCACTGGGGATTTTCTATTTCCTCTCTCCCCAAGTGAATCACATTCTGCCTGACACTGGGCGAATCCTATGGCTTCTTTCACATCTGCTCCTCTCCACTGTCAGCTGAGGACCAGCGGGATGCCCACCCTCCTGGGAGACTCTTCTGCTCAGAGCCCTGGCAGCAAAGCTTTCCTGGCCCCTCTGCCCAGAGGGGGAAATTTTTCTTCCTTCCACAGTCCAGGCTGCACAGGGCTGCCAGCTCCACACCTGTGATGCCCTGAAGGAGACACTTCTGCATCTGATATCCACCCACGCACTCACTACGGCCACACAGGTTTTTTAAGTGTGTTGGACTTAGCTCTCCCGTGACTTCAGGTGACCACTGACTTTATATTAATAAACATTGATTTTGCCCAACATTTTGATGTGTCTGCCAGGAAGGCGGTCATTTCAACAGTTACCATGCTGCTATGACTTCTTCAAAATAGACATTTCTGAATACTTTCCCCTCTTTCTTGATACTCTCATCTTGGGCCAGTCGGTCTGATTCCCCAGGTAGATGCGTGTGCATATTTTGAGAATTTTGCTGTTTCTTGCTGGAGTTTTTCTCTGTTTTCCCAGGTTGGGTATAGAAATAGGTTTGTGGTATAATAGAAACTGGGAAGGCTCTTGTTGCTCTTTAGGCCAATAGAGGAAGGAGGGAAACAGGGTCGTGGAGGTTTCACTTCGGCCTCCCTGCTGGCTCAGTTGGTGAGGAAGCTGCCTGCGATGCGGGAGACCTGGGCTTGACCCCTGGCTTGGACGAACCCCTGGAGAAGGAAATGGCAACCCACTCCAGTATTCTTGCCTGGAGTTCCCATGGACAGAGGAGCCTGGTGGGATGCAGTACATGGGGTTGCAAAGAGTTGGACATGACTGAGCGACTAAAGCGCGCACACACAGGTTTCACTTTAGAGGGTTGGCTCCTCTGGAAGGAGTCCCTGCGGTGCAGGGGGTGTCTGCGGGGGTCCCCTGGGGTCCCACCCACGTGCCCCCTCTTTGATGGCTCTGACACGGGACTTCCGACGCCTCCACTTCCTCACAGGGACACAGACATCCTTCCACTGTTCACTAGGGACTTAGGGTTGGGGAGTCGGTTCTCCATTCAGAATTTGAGTAGCTGCACTGTGATGATAACCATCATTTCTAGACAGAAGGGTTGTCTCCAGGTAAAGGAATGCTGAGTGTCACCTGGAGGGGAGTGGAGAGTGCATTCCTGCATGTATGTGCACACACTCGTATGTGTGTGTACACGTGCGTGCGTAAGTGTGTACCTGTGCCCAGGCCACGCACAGGTGGCTCCGAGGCGCTGGCTGCTCTGCACCCATCAGTGTGGGTCAGGATGTCTGTGACTTCTGGATCCCCACGAGAAATGAACAGGACCAGCAGGCAACGAGGGAGCCTCTCACTGCCCAGCACCTGGCCTGGAGCGGGCAGGGCTTGGGAGCTCGAGGGTGGCCCCGGGCCTGACCCAGGGCAGGGGGGGCCCAGTGCTCTGGGGACAAGGGCAGCCCCTTCCCCTCCTGACCCGGGGGCTGTCCCGTGCTGGACGCTGCCTTACCTGTACCCTCCTTTCCCCTGACAGGGAGAATGTACCCAATGGTGTTCATAAAGAAACCCGTGAAGCAGCTTGGCAACGAGCCCCGGGCGCCTGAGGCCCTGAAGCACTCAAGCAAGTCGAGGTGCTGCGCCTCATACTCCACCTGTAGTCACAAGTGAGCGTCTGGGCGCCCTTCGGACCCCACAGGGCTCCCAGAGCCCCCCGAGGCTTCCTCCTGGCCTGCCAAGGGAAGAAGGCCTTCACAGCGACCTTGGCCTCCGGGAGGAGCTGGGCCAGTGGGCACTGAGGCCCGTCAGGACTTGAGCAGGGGCGGGCAGGTGAGCACCCCACGCTGCCCGACGGGAAGCCTGGGCCGCGCCCTGCAGGTCTCCCTCCAAGGAGCCACCTCCTCCTCCCGGAGTGTGCTGCCTGGCCCCTCCTCGGGCCGGGGGCCCTTGGCGCTCCAGGGCCCAGACGACCAAGAAACTTTGTTGAACGCTTGCACGGCAAGCCAGTGTGGGCGGCGATGCCCGAATAAAGTGACTGTCAGTGGCTCATGCCTCTGCTACAGCCTCTGGCTGAGGTCCAGGGCCCGCACGCGGTGTGATGCTGGACAGGCCGCCCCGCTGGGGCTGCAGGGCATGTGGGGGTACAAGGCCGGGGCTGGTGGCCTCACTCAGCAGTTGTGCAGGACTGTGCCTGGGCGGGCAGGGCAGCTGGCCAGGGGCCCCTGCTCTGCTGAGAGATGCCAGCTAGGCAGGGCTCTCTCTGTGGCTCTGGGGCTAACGGGACCATCAGGATGTACGGCCAGCCCCAGCCACGGGATGACGCTGGTCCCACCACACTGTGGCCTCTGAGGTATCTCTGAGCCTGCTCGGCAGGAACTGGAAACGGGAAGTTTCCTGGATGTGCCTGGATGTGTGCGTCCAGAGTGGGAAGCGGGAGGGTGGACGGCAGGAGGACCCGGGCCAGGGCCAGGCCGCACACTCCCCAGCCGTGAGCCACGTCACCATGAGAGACCTGTGTGTGAGCCCGCCCTCACCTCCCCACCAGTCCCAGCGTGCCGGGCATGCCCATGGCACACACCTGTGGCCAGGCGGGGTCGGCGGGGTCACTGCAGCAACACGCGGTCTCCAGCCTTTTATTCATACGAGGACTTGAAGAACACACGTCACCTGCGGATGCCGTGTGGCCCGAGACGCAGCTGGCCCGGCCAGTGACCACACAGGGCTGACCCGTCCAGAGACGAATGGAGGGCGGGCCTGAGCGGTTGTCCGGGCACACAGGTGATGCTGCCCCAGGCCGAGAGTCCAGCTGGCCTCCACCCGCAGACAGGGAAGCCCCGACCCGGCTCCACCCTGGCACAAGGCTCTGATAGGGTTGGCGTGTCTGTAGGAGCGGCCCTGGACCCCACGTGTCCCAGAGACCAGAAGCTCTCCACCCTGTGAGGAAAAGCAAAGCGGCAGGAAGCAGCCTTCTTGGGGCACAGGGGCTGGTCAGGATGTTGGCCTGGCTATGTGGCCCGGCATCCCCCGACCCTCAAGACCACCCTGTCCGGCCTGAGCCCTCTCCGGCAGGGAGCCGGCCCCTCCCCAGACCCTGCAGTGGACGGGGCTCAGGAAGGCAGGCCCTGGCCTGGGGAGGGGCCTGCAGAGACCCTGGGCCGCGGAAGGTCACCTGGGACTCTCAGAAGCTTCCGGGGAGGAGCCGAGAAGGCAGCTCTGGGCGAGAAGGGCAGGAGGAGCCGGTAGAGGAGCCATGGCCGGGAAAGCCCTTAACTATCGGAGCACCCTGGCCTGCGGCCGGCAAGGTCAGGGCGAGGAAGGCCCTCGGCGTGGGCGCCGGGTCTCCCTGGCCCTGAGCTCGGATTTCCCCAGCCACCCAGCGTCCCCGCGGCCAGGCGGCGGCCAGGGGTCGGCTGCGGCCCTGGCCCACGTCGTCCTGAGCTGGGACGTGGCCCTGGTCTGGGTGGGGGTGGGGAAGGGCGGGGGCAGTTGGCGTCTCCGGAAGTCCGCGTTCGGGCCTCGCGGTCGGCCAGGAGCGCAGCCCAGAGCCGCAGCCGAGAGGGGCCCAGACGGGGTCCTGGGGGTGGGGTCAGGGCTCATGCATCATCCCAAAGGCCTCGCTCGGCCCTGGCTGGCGGGAACCCTGACACCCTCTGGGGGGTTCTTGGGCCTGAGGCCTGGGCCTGGCTTTCAGACACCTGAGCTCCAGGTGCTTGGTGGTGGGGGAGGAGGGCACAGCCGCGCTCAGCAGGACCCCGCCCAGGCAGCCTCCTCACCCTCCCGGGTGCCGCAGGGGCCGGGGGGAGAGACGGCCAGCGGCACCTCGAGGCCTCTGAAACGCATGGCTTTTGGGGGACACTGTCCCCGAATGACCTGAGGGCCCCGTACAAAAGTAAAAGCTCGGGGGGGCGGGCGAAGCCCCCCACCCCGCCTCCAGCACAGTCACAAGCCGGGTCCCTCGGCAACCCATCCTGTCCTGCCCTGCCCTGGGGCCTCTCGGCACAGGGAGTTAAATATCGTCTGCTGCGGGTTTTGGCAAAGTCGGTCCTTGGCCGTGGTCCCTGGGGCCGGGGCAGTTACCGCCCCCGGGGCGCGGCTGCCAGAAGGGCCAGGGCGAGCCCCAGGAGCAGCAGGGGGCAGGCGCGGGGCAGGGGGCGGGCAGCGGCGGACGTCTGCTGGCCCTCCCGCTCAGACAGCCCTGGGAGGGCATGCGTCAGCGGCGTCCGCGAACTGGCGCTCTTCCTGCCGACCTTCCGGCCGCACACCTCGTCCGGGCAGCCCTCGCCGCTGCCTGAGCCGCTGCCGTCGTCGCCTGGGAAGGAGAGGAGGCTCTGGGAGACCCCGAGGGCCACGACCCTCTGCCTGGGCCTCCTGCGCCGGGGACGGCGGTTCCTGGGGCCTGCCGAGGCTGGGCAGACATCCTGGCCTGCTCACAGCCATGCCGGAGACAGGGCGGGGGGACCGTGACCACAGCTGGGCAGCAGCCGGGCCTTTAGAGTCACCTGGGCCCGGGGGTGGAGGAGCTGCCTCCCCGCCCACCTTTTCCCATCTAGGGCCTCCCCTCACTCCACACCTTTCCCAGCTAGGGGCTCCCTGGCACTCCCACACCCACCCCGGGGCCCCACCCTGGGCGCTCAGCCGCCCCTGGCCCGCCCTCCACTGGCGTCCTGGAAGTCCAGGTTGTTGCCTCCACGCCGACCCGGGGACCCCACCCCGGGCACTTAGCTGCCCCTCGGCCTGCCCTTACTGGCATCCTGGAAGTCCAGGTCGTTGCCGTTATAGGCACCGCGCAGGCGGTTGGTCATGATCTTCAGCTGCATGATCTGCTGGCGGATGGTCATGTCCGGCTTGGTGATGTCCACCTCTACCTCGGGGTTGTTGATCTGATTGGCCAGGCCGTCACCCATTACCTCGGGGAGGTACCTGGAAGCCAGAAAGACAAGCCCTGGATCACTGCCCTGCTCCCCACAAAGGGGCCTGGCCCCAGCAACGCCCATCCAGGCCCCTCCTCCAGTCAGGGTGGTGGCAAGCCTGAGACCACCCCCCACCCAAGGCCTTCAGGGGCTGCCGGGAGCCCACACAGGGCCCTGCAGCGGAGCGTGGAAGCACTGAGCGTGTGTGTGCGGTGGGGACCTGGCCCTCGTCCTGGCTCTGGGTCCTGCAGGATGTCCCATGTCAGACCTGGCCCAGGGCACGATGCACCCGGGGCCACGGACAAGCTGAGGGGCCGGAGCGGCGGGACACTCACCGGCCCTTGGCCATGCCGTTCCAGCAGCGTTCATCACTGGCTGAGCTCATGGCCAGCTTCTCACTGCACAGCGTCCCCGGGAGGCTGATCCAGAAGTCTTGAGCGTCTCGGAGCTGCGCCTTGGCTTCGGAGACCTGCGGGGTGGCAGTCAGGCCACCAGTCGCCCCCTCCCACCTGTCCCGCCCGCCCCCCGGGGCCCGCCCAGGGAGGGCACTCACCAGCTTCTGCAGCGTGCCCGCAGGCAGCCTCTCCTGCAGCGCCAGCTTGCCCCGGGGCCGCTTCTCCTCGGAGCCAGGGCCCTGGGGGTTCACCTTGGGGTTCCCGCAGCCCTGGATGACCTGGGGGAGCACACAGAGGTCCCGACAGGCATGAGGCCACATCCGGGGGCCCCCCTCCCCTGCCCACTGCTCTCCCCCTGCCGCACCTTGGTCGTGAGTGTGTCGCTGTTGTCCTGGAGGGCATTGATGGCCTCTGCCAGCCAGTAGTGCACACCGCCGATGACACTCTCCGCTCCCGAAGGGCCCCAGAACTTGTCCGTGATGAGCACCATGGAGTCTGGCCCAGGTGTGAACAGAAACACGGGGCACTTTGTACAGACGCACGCTGGCTCATGGCTGTGCTATGCGCAGGCACGTCAGCCCACATGACACAGTATTTCTGCATGTCTGCTTACTGCAGGCCAGCCCACCTACACATGAGCTCCTGTATGTGTTGGCATTCATGTAGGTTGAGCACGTGTGTCTAAGCTTACACCTGTCAGCACACACACGTACACCTGGCCCACTGTGTGCATACGTTACCTCATGTCTCACAATGTTCGCATTATGCCATGACACGTCCAACGTTAGCAGGTGTTTCGGCATGTGTGTGTGCTGGCCTGTGTCACCACACAGTGTTGATGTGGATGTGTGTTGGCTCACCTCACACGAGCAGATGCACACAGGAGTGCAAGCGTGTCGGCGCATGTCTGGTGACCCACCTCATGTCAGCACACACCAGCCAGGTCACCCCATGGCAGCAATGCACACGGTAATTCACGCACGGGTCGCCCTGCGGTAAGTCTCACGTGTGCACCTTGGCGCGCTCGCTCACTGGGCAAGGACGGGAACCTGACCCCCAGGGCGCCCTCCCAGGCAGCTGGCCGTGACACCCCTCTCTGGGAGATTCAGAGGGAACACTGCCCCCCAGCCTCTAGAGGCCGGCCTGCCGCGGGGGGTCATGGCAGTGGGGGCTCACCCAGAAGGTTCCTCCACTCGGCATCCAGGTCGGCCTGGTTGGCCAGGCAGCCCTTGAGCACGTTGCGGCAGTAGTCAGGGCAGGGCCGGGCGCCGGGCACCCCCAGGCAGTGGGCGCAGTACACCAGCTTCATGACGGCCCGCGAGCACTCGGGGCTCAGGGGCACCTGCAGGGCCAAGGCAGCCTGAGCCCGCGCCACCGCGTGTGCACCCCGGGCGGGAGCCCCGGGCAGGGGTTGGTGCCCAGGTCTACCCCACCGCGGTGGGGCCTTTTCTGGGGCCCTGTCTCTTCCCAGATGACCAAGCAGGCCTGCGGCCCGGGCCGGGGCGGGGGGTGGGGGGGCGCTCAGTCCAACCAGTCCGGTCTCCGTGCTGGGACTCCCTCTGGAACACTGCGCTCATGAACCCTCCCTCGGGAAGCGGGAACCCTGCGCACCATGCAGATGAGGGCCCCGAGGCTGGGGTTACCTGCTGAGGGCCCTCGCTGGCAGGGGCGGGGGCGGAGAGGTGAGTTCTACCCAGGCCCGCAGGGGTCTGACACTTATGCCCCCCCCCTACACCGGACACCGCATTCCGCTGCTCTGCCTGGGAGCGGGCCGCCCTCTCATGTCCCGTCCCCCTGACCCCTGGAGCCCCCGGGGCGTCCAGCCCCAGGCCCCTCCCCTTCCCGTTCCGACAGGCCCGAGCCCGGCGCCCAGGGGCGTGGCAGGGGGCGGGGCCGCGGTACGCACCTTGGCCACCTTGCGCACCACGTCTCCGGCCACGCCCAGGCCCTGCACGAAGGTGCGCGCCGCCACGAAGGCGCGGGTGGCGCGCAGGCGCAGCTCGCGGGGGGCCTCGCCGAAGGGCCGCAGCGGCTCGGCCTGCTTGCCCAGGCAGTCCAGGTAGTCGTCGGGCAGCAGCAGCTGCGGGTGCAGCTGTCGGAACAGGCGCTCGAGCAGGCGCGCCCAGAACTCGGCCAGCGTCTCCTGCAGGTGCAGGTTGGCGCCGCCGTAGTAGAGGCGCAGCTCGGCGTACAGGTCGCGGAAGGCCTTGGCGCTCTGCGTGTACAGCTCTCCGAAGGCGCCCGGGAAGGCCTCCTGCAGGACGCGCTCTGAGTCGTTCAACAGGCGCTGGAAGTGATCTGGGTGCGCGGGGAGGTGGGCGTGAGGCCTTCGGGGGCCCCCTGTCCACCCCACATGCTGCGGCAGCCCCGACCGGCATTCCCGGGGGCTCCGCCGGCGACCACCCCAACTGCCCCGATGCTCTGAGTCATCAGAACCTGCGGGGGCGCTGGATGCCGGCCCCCACGGGGTCCTGAGCCCTCCCCTTCCTGGCCTGGGGACTGCAGTGTCCAGCATCTATTTCTGAGCTGAGCTGCATGCGAGCACCTGGAAGGGACTGCTTCCGAGGGCAGGAGGGTGCAGAGTTAGAGTGGGACCCACAGGGGGAGAAGGCCCTGGGCGCCCCTCACCTGCTCTCCTTCCCAACAGCTCTCCTTCCTCCCCGGCCTGTCACCCAGCCAGCCGCCCCGCCCCCTCCGGCCCCAACCCTCCACCCCACGGGTCTCTGAGGCTCTCCTGGGCTTCCTGTCCTCCCGCCTCGCTACAGGGAGCTCCTTCTGGTTCTGGAAGCCGGCCAGCCTGGGCGGCTCCTCTGCAGGGGCCCCTCAGGACATTCCCAGAGTCCAGACAGGGCTGTGGAGGTGGGGGGAGAGTGTGGGCAGCAGACCCCGGGGATTTGGGGGAGATGCTTCTGCCCTGTGTGCTGAGAACCAGGGCCCCAACATCCTCCTCCTCTCTCAGCAGGGAGACCCCAGGAGCTGTGGCACACCGCCCGCCCGCTCAGATGCGTCCTCACGAGCTGTGGCCACCCCTCCCCACCCAGGCCCACCCTCGGGTGTCCAGGCCAGCTCGGATCTGCTCTGAGGCGGCGGGGATGTCAGACTTGGGGCCCCCGGACCAGTGCCCACACGCGCCCCACCCAGGGCCTTGGGCAGGAGACCCTGGCACAGCCCTGGCTGAGCCCTGCAGCCCCCAGAGCGGGAGCTGTGGGAGGAAGCAGCCAGTCCATATTCCCATCTCGACTCCCACCATGGCCCTGGGGGCCTGGTCCCCACCCAAGCCTGGCCTCCAGACAGGCTGTCCGCAGCTCAGCGGCCAGCCCAGCAGCACACAGGGTGGTCGTGGGGCTGCCACGCGCATGCCTGGCCCCCCGCCCCCCCCCAGGAGATGATGGCCCCGGCTGCGGCTGGAGAGCCGTGTCGAACACAGCCAGTGCAGCCCCGCTGGGCTCAGGGCCTGGGGAGCTGCAGACCAGGGACCCTGCGGTGGGCAGCCTGGGGTGGCCTGACCAGGTGCAGCGGTGGGGCTGGGGTGGGAGGTGGCATGCAGAGTGGTGGGGGGCCCAGGTGGGACTGGAAGCGGGTGAAGAATCGCTTTTAACACAGGTGAGCGTCCCAACTGGGTGACGTGCAGGCTCTGACAGCAGCTCAGTCACTTCCGGGGGCCCCTGCCGCCGCCCCCTCTGAGGGGCCCACTGTAAACGTCACCCAGTCGTCCCACCACTCCTCGCTCCGGGCCCAGACGTGATGGCCAAGCCCGGAGGGAACCGCTGACCTACACACGGCTGCCCCCAAGATGCTGGGACGACGTCAATGGCCCCTGATCGCTGCGCCCTGCAGTCCTCACGCAGAGCTCCCGGCTCCAGAGCATGATGGCCGGCCCCAGGCCGGTCCTGGCAGACACTGGCAGAGCTCTGGGTGCCGGGGGGCCACCTGGAGGTGGAGGGTCCCCTCTGAAGGGCTGACGGGACACGCTGGCTCCACGGGCGGAGGAAGAGGCCTGCAGGCGACCTGCTACTGCGCCCGCTCTGACCTGCCCCCCGGGGGAGGCCCCAGGTGCCCACTCCCGCCGTGAGTGTCCACGGCCCCCAAGCCTGCTCACCATCAAAGCCCCGCTGCTGGGCGGCCAGTGTGGCCTGCAGCGCCCGGCTGCCCTCCAGGAGCGCCGTCTCCAGCTCGGCGCGGCTGCGGTTGGCCAGGTTCTCCTCCATCTCGCTGGTGCAGCAGGTGTAGCCCTGGGGGCAGATGCGCAGGTGCTCGCCTGTGGGGAGGGGCTGGCGTGAGGGAGAGGAGGGGTTGGGGTGGGGCGGCCCCGGGAGGAGGCACAGCGGGGGTGGGGGGCCGCCTGGGGGAGGCAGACCCGGGAAGGGGCTGGGGCTTGCGTGGGCCGTGCTGCCCTCAGCAGAATTCGCCCCCCAGGCCCCCTCGCTGCCCCCATCCACGTGAGGAGGTGTCCCAGGCGCCCCGAGCAGCTCAGCTCCATCCCTGAATTCAGCACAGAGGCCGAGGGGCCTGTGGGGGGTGGGCCCGTCAGACTCCAGGTTCATGGGGAGTGTGGGGGGCATCCAGGACTGCTGACGGCCCTCCCCTGCGTCCAGGCTGAGGGCAGGGGGACAAGAGGGGCTGAGGGGCAGGACAGCCCCAGCCTCCCCCACACCAGCTCGGGGCACCGGCTCCCACTGAGGGCAGGGGGCCCTGCGGGCAGGGGGGCTGCCCACCCACAGTTCTGGGCTGGCCAGAGGCAGGGGCCTCTCGTCAGGACAAGCGGGACGCAGGTCGAATGGGGCCCTGCCGTGAGCCCCACCCCGATTGGTAGGACACACCTGCGCCCCTCAGGGCGCCCACCGCCCCCCGCTGCTGCCCAGCCCTGGCTCCTGGGGGCCCAGGTTACAGCAGCGCCAGGGCGGCACTGAGGCTGGCCCCGTGGCCCTTGTGCAGGGCGCACCTTTCAAAACATGCCGGTCCGGGTTTTGAGTGGGTGCTGTGAACCCACTTTGCAGACCAGGAAACTGAGGCTGGCTGAGGTTAGGTTTCGTGTCGAAAGTTACACAGCGAGGGGCCAAGCGGCTCAGGCTGCCCAATTTCAGGCCCCCCCCACCCACTGGGCTGCCTCAGCCCACCCTGGCCCACCCCACACAGGCCACACTTCCTGTCTAAGCGGTGCAGAAGGAGGCTCCCTCCTGTGCCAGCTTGGGGTGGAGGTGAGCAGACAGCACCAGGCAGGGGGGCTGAGACCCGAGGAGGCGCCGGGAGGCGATTCCTCCTCCTTTCGGGGGACCTTTGCTGACTCTGACCTCAGCCTGGCCCTTCACCGCGGGAGCAGGGGGGAGGACAGCAGGCCCGGGGTCTCCGCGGGCCCAGCTGGCAGAGACTGGCCGCCTCTCAAGTGCTGGAGGCTGTGCATCCAGCCAGACGGGCCTGAGTCTCCCCTGCTGCCTGGGACCACCAGCCCCGTGGGGGGCGGGCAGGGGGCTGCAGGCTGCCCGCGCCTAAGCACTTGTGCCACGGGGTGGGTTTTAGGGGAGGCGTCCTGGGCTGGCTGGCCCCCCTCCCCAACCTTCCCGGTCCCTGGTGAATCCGACCCCTGATCCAGGACACACAGGAAGCCCCCTCTGGGTGGGTTTGGAGGGGCTCTTGGGCACTGTGGGCCCACCCACCCACTGCTTGCAGCTGGGAGCTGCCCGCCCCAGCCCCCCGCCCCTGCCACCTCGTCCAGCCGGCCCGGGGGCCTGCGCTCTCCCGGCCGCCCCAGCACAGCCCCCGTCCCTCCCTCCCTTGGTGGACACACACGGGAGTGAAGACACGGAGCCAGAGCCTGGACGCCGGCCTGGGGCCCCGGGCGGGCTGGGCCGAGGCGCCCCGAGCCGCTGCAGGGCAGACGTGGTAGCCAGTGCGCCCCAGGGTCACCTGTGGGTAGGGACAACTGCAGGGCAGAGGGTAGACTGCAGGGGGCCTTTCTGCACAGAAGGCCTGCTCCCCTGATGTTAGCCAAATAGCAGGGGTTTGGGGGGTCTGCCAGTGTGAGGGGGGCGTGAGCTCCGGGTCCCTGGAGGTATGCAAGGTGGACGGATGCAATTCTCTTCTCATCATTTCAAACCCCCATCCCCAAACCCCACCTCTTCTCTGCTAAAGGCCTGGAGACTGGGGAGGGGATCCTCGGGCCAGGTGGGGGCATGGCTGGCTTCCTGTCCACCTTAGAGGTGCCCAGTCCACCCCTCTCATCACCGCTTTCCCCCTCCTGTCCCCTCCCATCCCCACTGGGAGGCATCAGCTTGCCCCCTCTGCCCGCTGACCCCTCCCACCTACACTGACCCCCCACCCCCACCCCGGGCTGGTCCACAATGGCCCCTCTGCCTGCTGACCCCTCCCACCTACACTGACCCCCCCACCCCCACCCCGGGGCTGGTCCACAATGGCCCCTCCTTTCTTTCTCTGTAGCTGCTGCTCTCTTGACAGCCAACTAGATCCTTCTAGAATTCTTCCTTTCGTCAGCCTTTGCGATACCTCCTTTCGCGATCCAGGTTTTGGGTGAGAGGGGAGGGCTGTTTCATGCTGGGTTTGCTCCCCCAGCTCCGGACCCCACCCCACGTTTCCGAACCCAGGTTAAAAACACCCACACTCGTTTGCTGACCCCAGGGCAGGTCCTCCTCTTGCTGGACAGTAGCCAGCTCCCCCCATATTCAGACCTCCTGGGGCCCCCCCCCCCGGCTCCTGCTCCTGGGTGCTAGGCCCCATCAGTCTATGGCTTAAACGTCTCTGAGGCTCAGCCTCCTGCCGCCTGCGCTCACGGCCACAGCCCCAGCCCCAGCCCTCCTCAGCCCCACCAGCTCTGTGACCGCAGCACTGGAGACCAAGACCCCATGCAAGCGGCGGTCCTCGCCTCTGAGGCTGGACAGAGCGCGCGTCTGTGCTGGCCCAGCCTGGCAGTCCTGACTGGTGCCCGGGAGCCCTCCCAAGGAGGCTGAAGCAGGAAGATGGCGCCAGGCCAAGCCCATCTTTCCAGAAGCTTCTGTGGCTCACGCAGGAGCACGCAGACAGCCTGCGGCACTGGCCTCTGAAGCCACGATCGGGTGCTAGGCACCAGCTCCCCCAGCCACCCCCAGGATGCACTGGCTAATTCAGTGGAGACAGCCAGCCTCCCCGGACACCCCCCCCCCCACCCCGAGGGAACACGGCTTTGCGGGCAGCTCCGGGCACCCAGGCCCCCAAACACCGGGGGGAGGCCAGGGCTGGAAGAGCAGGGAGGGGCCCTTGGCCACCTGACCCTTCCACTCTGCCCTGGACCCCACGGGCCTCCAGTAGAGGGTGGGCAGAGGCTTTCCCCAAGCCACAGAACCCTCTCTGGATGACTGTGCGTGCCCACTCTTGCTCCGATGGGCTGCAGGACCCCTGAGCAGGTCCACCAGCCTGAAAGTGGTGGGGAGGCACCTGACAAGCAACGCCGCCAGGTCCCCTGGGCACCGCCCACCGCGGGAGCCCCAGGCCGCCTTTTCGCATCTCCTCACCCCGCCCCACCTGCCACCCGAGAGGCGTCTGTCCTGGCCTCTGTCTGCAGCAGGGTCAGCCCTGAGGGCTGGGGTCCACCCAGGGGGCAGCCACAGACCCACCGCGGACAGAGGTTTTCAACCGCTACCCTCCCGGGTTCCTAACGCGACAACAGACCCCGCCACGGCCACCGCCCCGCTCCCCTAGCCCCCTCGGAGCACCTCACCGCCGGACCCAAGCCCCTCCACCATTCCGGCCACCTGCCAGCATCACCGAGCCGGCCCTACCGCCGCGCCTCCGTCACTGGCGGGGACCCGAAACTCAGGGGTGTCGCCTGCGACACCCCGGCGCCCGGCGGGAGGGGTCCGGCCCTCCGGCCGATCCGGGACCCCGCCGCCCCGGGGCAGCAAGCGCGGGCGGCGGACAAAGGCCGAGCGCCCGGGCTTCAGCGGCCGCCGGCCAGGGACAGAGGGCCGCACGCGCGGAGCCGCAGCCGGTGCGGTCTGGAGAGGCGGCCGCGCTCCTGGCGCAGCGAGGAGGGGGCGCTGGCGCAGTGGGCGCGGCAGCGCCGAGGGGAGGGGGGCCCCGCCGCAGGAGGGGGGCCGGGGGCGCTGCGATTGGCGGGGAAGGGGCCTGCCGCAGTGGGCGAGGCGGGCCTGGCTGGGGGCGGCAGGCGGGGCCCGCACGGGGGCTGCGGCGAGCAAAGGGGAGGGGAACGGGCTTGATGGAGAGGAAGGGGGGCTTGCTGCGGGAGGGGGCTGCGGCAGGAGGGGGAGGGGTGGCGAGGAGGCAGCGGAGGGGGGCGTGGGAACGGGACGAAGGTGGGGGACGGATGGGCGCGGTGAGGACGGGGCCCGGTGGGGCGCACACGGAGACAGCGAGGGGCTTGCGCTGGGGGCGAAGGTGGGGTAGGCCAGACTGAAGGTGGGGTCTGGGCAGTGGTGATGGGGGCAACAGGGTGAGCGGCGAGAGGGGTCAGGAGGAGGGTTCGGGGTGACGCCCGCCCGGGGATGGAAGTGCCAAGGGACGCGGTTGACGGAGATGGTGCAGGGCGCCGGCGGGTCTCCGCGCTTGGATCCCAGCCCCCGGGCTTAGCCCGAACCCCCTTCTCGGCGGCGGCGGTGGTCCCGGCAGGCGGCGTGCGACTCCGGGCTCTAGTGCGTGGTCTGGGGCCCGCCCGGGAGAAGCGGAGTGGGCGAGGGCCAGAGCAGCAAAGCGGGACGCGCTGGCGGCCGCCGCCCGGCGCAGCCCCGCGCAGCACAGGCGCGCACGGTCCGGGGCCGAGGCTCCCGCGCGGGGCCGCCTCCTCCCGAAGCCCCCGCCCCGCCGCGCGCGGCGCCGCCCCCGTCCCCCCGGAAACCGCGGCGGCCGCACTCTGCCCCGGAGCTTCCCGCGGCCCGGGCCTCTGCCTGGCTCCTGCCCCACGGGGCTCCTCCCGGCCTGGGGATGCGAGGGGAGGCAGCGCCAGCTCGCTCCCCCAAGGAGCACGGCAGGCCCCCGCCAGCGAGCCCCCTCTCCCTATGACAACGACCAGAGCCCTACGCTGGGCCCTCAAAGGCCACCGTCAATCACCCGTACTCTCTACCTGCCCCTAGCCTGCATCCTATCGTCCTGTCTGCTTCCCCTGGGAAATACAAGGCCCCTGCCTGGCCCAGTCCCCACCTCCTCCTGGGTCCCCCTCCCACACGCCTAGGTGGTCACCATGGCTGGCTCTCGCCCATCCCTGCCACTCCCTGCAGCCCTAGCCCTGGTCCTGGCTGCCACAGCGCGAGCCAG